GGTATTCTTTGGTCCCCAAATTAAACAGCCTATGCATATTCTTGCTGACATTTGAGAAGTCATGTTAGTCACAAGACGTTTTTTAATTTCAAACTAGAAACAATCAAAGTGTCCACCCAAAGAAGCTAATATCATAAATCCGGTAGGTTGCTATCCTGGGACACTATTTGGTAATCATGAGGAATAAGATATATCTGTGCTCATATGGAAAGATTCCCAAAATAAATTACTTAGTGAAAAATATAACACTGAGAATGGCTTGCCTTGAATAAAATGTTTTGTATGGATTGTATACATAGTGCTATAATTGCTAGCACGAGCATAATATCCCCCCTCTGGAAGAAATTAAACTGTTTTCAGAGGAACTGAAAAGGTGTCAGGAGAGTCTGTTGCTTTCTGGTTAATAATTCTATACTTCTGGAAGGTAATTTACCATGTGTGTATTACTAAAATCCAGACGTGGAATGCTTTCACACTAAAGGCTTGGGAAGAAAAGACAGATCGGCCAAAGAGGCATCAGTCCACCTGCAGTTTTGCAGCTGTCTTTCCCCCTTGAGATTTCAACCCACTTGGTTTTCTGCTTTGGGATTGTTTTTCCACTTGAGCTGCTTACTTCCTGTTGAACTTTGATTACCTGACTCTGGTATACAGTTTATCTCGCCTGCCTTAATTGACCTCGTCTCTTTTGTCCCTGGACCTGGATTCGGACTGCAGCTGTTTCTGCTCCCAGGTCAGCCTATTTTGGCTTCAATATATCCACTTAGTTCTGGCCTCAACTCTATCATTCTGACAATTTCAACCAACACATTCCTAGAATATGTCATCTTGCAGAAAAAAATTATAAATAACTTTCTCAAAAACTTAAATATGCATTGCCATACACACACACACACATATGCATACACACACACACATATATACACACACACATATATATATACACATATGTGTATATTTCTTAAGCATTTTAATCCAGGCATTCTTCTGGATTCAAAAACTAGGCAAACAGCTTTGTACATCAACGAGCACCAGAAAAAGTTCAAAGGAACGGGTCCCTTCTCTCCCCAAATGAAAAGACCTCTTTTGAGAACTGAACAACCCTCAAAATGTAGTAAACTTGGATTCCAGTGATAGTTCATTAAAATAATCAGGAGCTGAGTTCTTTGCAAATGTCTTTTTTCCAGGGAGGAGGAGTGCAGGTCACAAATTCAACATGGTACAACTTACACTGAAGAAATCTGTACAAGTGTCGTATGACAGAGTCCTAGCACCCAGTCCCAAATTCACTTTCAAGAATGAGCCCAAGGAAAGCTCAGTGGATGTCCCAAAGCCTTGAGAGGATGCAGGACAGTACGTCTCTGTGGGAGAGGGCTCAGCAGGGTGAGCCATTAGCACTGGTGAGGCAATGAGGCAGGAAAGAGGTCCCAGGAACAGGAAGAAAAGCCGCCTTGGTTTTAAGTATGCCCACTTGAGCTTCTCTATGGCAACCTCATGGTTCACCAGCAGGGTCCCTTGTTTCTGTGAATAGACAACAATTTCCAAGCTGCGCCTGTCCAGCCCACCAAAACAAGCATGTTGGGGAAAGGCCAGAATCTTTCCAGAACAAACTGTTCTATGACCCTAGTCAGTCAGACAGACCCTTGACAAGGAAAATCTGGCCAGTGGCCATTTAAGAGCTCAACGGGGAAGAATGTATTGTTGCCCCTGCTAAAGTAATACAAAGAGAGCTTGTTATGCATGTAACTTCTATACTCATCAGTGATCCTGAGACCTTTTGACCTATGGTTTTAGGTGCCACTGGATTGGTGGAATGCAGATTTTTTAAAAAATTCCATAACAGGCACATTCACCGGAACCCTGGAGGCCTCCTAAAGCTGGCTCTCCACTTCTGCTCCTCATCACTCTCAAAGAGTTGCTCTGCGCCCCCAGGACCTACTCCCACACCCCAAATCTGCTCTAGCTTTTCAAATAAGTAACCAAACACATAGATACCCAACCACTTCTCGAATTTCAGAGAAACCAGAGAGGAGGCTTGAAACATATTAGTGCAAAACTAGATATGGACCAGAGCCAAAATTATAGCCTGTAATTAGGTACTTAGACCATGAAGCTTCTGGAAGAACTCGGAGAGTGAGAGACTGACGGACCGGGACCCTCACTCCAGCATCTAAAGCAGAAAGGAAGAAATGTCCCATTCAACACTGTAGATTCAAATGGGGGCTATGCCCGCCCAATGAACATCCTCTGGTGTTCTAGTTTAAAACCAAATGCCCTGACCTAATTTCAGACTTTTAAAAACAGAATTTCCCTGGGCAGGGCCCTGGCTTCATCAAACTCTTATTTGATGCTAATACAGTCAGCTTGGGAGTTGGGTGGTACCACAGAGCTGATTATCCTCAGCCAACAATAAGCTGAGTCAGTTCTGTCAGAAACACTGCGTATAGAACGGGGATCTCTGTTGGCCAGACAAATGGGGGTTCCCCACTCAGCATGGAGTACAATCAGAATAAGCCTGGTTTATAAATAGCAATGATTGAACAAATACATGGAAATCATAATCCCTGCCAGGCCAAGAGATATGGATCAGCTGAAAAATATCCCTAGAAACCATCAGATGAAAATGTTTTCTTCAGCCTTAAAGATTCCCTCTTTCAGTGGTATAGAGATGAGATCTTGCTTATCTGGTCTTGATTAGCCCGCACTAATAGAATAGAAGAGGACCCACTCAGGAAAAACTGACATCTGTCTTAAAAGTTAGTGTCATAGGATGGTGGGTGACTGCACATTGCTGACAGCTAGTCGGGAGGGCAGGGTTTACACATGTCTTCTCACAACTGACCCATGTTGATAATGGTTAGTGAAAATAATGGGACCAGACTCTCAGAGATCAAGAATGTCCTTTTCATGCTATGCCACGACCATAAGCTTTCAAAAGAGAGTCTCTGGTGGTAGGGACAGGATTATGGGTCAGACTCTGAGTGTCTCATTTATGGTACAGATCCTTTCATCATGAGGTCTAGGGCTGGGGTGCAGTAGCATACTTCTTCCCTAGCAAAGAATTGAGCAAAATTCTGTTGTTTTCATTTCCAGTGTGCTTTAGATCTGTATCTCTCCTCCCTGATCAAAAGTTATGGGAGTACATATCAACTACCTACCAGAGCTTCTCCTACAGGGGGCTGTGTGACACAGTGTCCAGGTCCTAGGTGCCCGGCTCTGCTGCTCACTCTCCAATGGAGGTTGATAGGCAGTGGCATGTCCTGGGACCCGCCCATGTCATCTGCGATCTGTCGGTCCCTTTTCCTGAGACTGCCTCCAATTCTCCTATTGTTGTAAAGACGTTGATGGGAAAGAAGGGGCTCATGGCACCTCTCTCCTGAGTGAAGGATTTTAATGAGTCAAGTATTTATGCTTACATTTGATTTTTCCTCTATTAATTAATGGACCAAAATATATTCACAATAGGCAATATAACTGATGGTTTCATTCCAAGGAGTTAAGAACATATACCTAAAATAAAATTTAAAACTAAAAAAAGAAAGTGATTAAAGTATATTTTGAGAGCATTCAAAGGTGTTTAAATATGAAATGTTAGCTAGAGCACACAATTTTGCAAGGATGTCAGGTCACAGGCTAGAACATACTTGAAACTGTACAAGTGGCAAGAAATCATGGCCTGCGTATGAATTTCACTTCCTATAGTGCATTCTAGTTAGGCCTATGAAAGCCTCTTTTATTCATATATTGATTGAACCTGACTTAAAACAAGAGCTACAATAGTGAAATGTATAATAACATAGACCACTTCTTTATGCAAGCAACGGTTACATGACATTACCTTGATGACATTCACAAACCCCTTCATGTGGTCTCTGTAATTTAGTCCTTACCAGGAAATGTAAGCTTTTGATGTGTGATTTACAAAGTAAGAAAAATAAAGTTTAATAGAAAGTTAAATAATTTGCTTCATTTTCTCAAAAATGGAAATCAAGTTTTATTATTCTCAATATCAAAGGCTTCTTTATTGAACTTCAACTCATCATTGATTAGCTAGGTAATTACTGGCTTATTACTCCGCATGGGCCTTATCTTCTTGACTTGTAACTGGAAGTAGGACTCCTTGTAGCAGGTATGGTACTCAGGACTCTGTTTTATAGGGCTCAGCTTCCCACTCTTTTTTCCATAAACTATTCTCCTGAACAATAGCCAGGAAGACAAAACAGCCACAGAAAGCACCACCCATTCTAAGAGATTTTTCTGACCAATATCTAAACTTGCCTCCATCATCTCCTTTAACAAGGGGAGCCCATCAGTGTGTCATCCCACCGGTATTCATCATTTGTCCTGTTTGACTGGTGTCCTGAGTATCAGAGGCAGCGTATAACCAGTCATCATGAATAATCATCACCTCTAAAAGAAAACCTCCAGAACATATGCATTTTACAGAGCTAAACAGTGAAAAACAAACACACAAAAAATACCCCAAACCTGTTGATCCAAACAATACCAAAATGCCTAGTGGTTTAACCTGGGCACACCATTTCCCATCACATCCATGCCTCTCATTAATGGGCAACTGTTACAGGAAAAGCACCGATCTTGAAATCGCTAAGTTACTTAGAATAAGAGACAAGATTCCTAAGAAGTAGACTCCATCCGGCCTAAGGTTTCATTTCTTCTAATTATTGTGTCATGTGACCAAAAAACCATGGACATGTAGAGTTTCTAGATATTTTACACGAACACGGCATCTTGGTTTCGGAAGCTTACCTGGTGGGGTGAGCACACTGACCACACACAGTGCAGAGCAAACACCCACAGGCCACTGCCGCTCTCAGAAGTAGCCCTCTTAATTAATGTGCAGCCTCTATTACTCTCCTGCTGGGGACCTAAGGGTGTGCATGGGGTGGGGCAGGTGGGGGTTGGGTGGGAAAGCCTGGCACAGATGGACGCTATCACCATCCTGGGACTGGGTGCACACACGGCAAGAAAAAAGCACTTACTTGCTACCATGTGACGGGTCTCCACCAGCACTCGGGCTCCTTGGAGCCCGTTCTCCTCCTGGACTTCTCTTTCTTTCTGGTCTCTCTGGTCTCCTGGGCTCTGGTTGCTGAGATGGTACTGCTAGATTGGCATCTGCCCTCACCAGCGCATGCCACCCAGGCTCAGCAATAAATGGCCCCACTGAATTGCCAGCTAGGAACGGAGCCCCTGGGGCGGCTGGCCAGCCTCTGACCCAGAGACCCCCACCTGCCAGAAGCGCAGTGGAGCCGCGCCCGCCGCCTGGAAGCTGTTTTGTGTCCCTCCCTCTCCCCCGCCCTCTCCCCGCCCTCAGCTCCCGGCCAGTGCGCGGCTCCAGCGCCGGGCGTGGGCGGCGATGCTGCCTGCAGCCGGCGGAGCTACAGCCGCAGGACCGCGGCCGCTGCGAGGTCCTGTCCTCCCGCTGCCCGGGAAGGGAGGGGGCCAGAGAGCGGACCTGTGAGGAGGGGGGCAGGAAGAAGACTCGGGCTGAGAAAAGGAGAGGGGGTGTAGAGCAGGGGTGCAGTTGGGGGATGGGGGTGAACAGGAGGGAGAGGAGGAAAAGGCAGGGAACAGGTCTCCAGTTGCTTTCTCCCGCTCCTTGCTTAGCTGCCCCAAGGAGCCCGCAGGTTCAAATCTGACCCTGGCGGTGGTGCGAGTGAGTGTAGGTGAGTGTAGGTGTGTGTAGGTGTGCAGCTGTTTAGGAATGAATGGGCTGGAGCTACAGCTTCCTCACTCTAAATTTCTTTCCAGCTGTGGAGATTTGAAACACAAGGGACAGAGGAAAAAATACGCATTTTGGAAATTTTGGGAAACTGGTGGACAACTGGTAATTTGATGGTGAAGGGAAGAGCTGTTGAGCCTTCTTTGTCAAAGAGAGTTTGGAAAATTTTCCCACACCATAGAACATTCATTTTATAATCCCAATTGGTTTGGACAGGGTAAAGTGTCCTTTAAAAAGAGAGAGAGATTCCTGCAACACACCAAGAAAAGATAACAAAAATGTGTAAGAGATTCGCGTTTTTTGTTGCAAGTTATAGAACAGAAGAGTGAAGTGGAACTAAGCTAATACTGTCTCTGTGCAAACTGTCTTAGGGATAGCATGTTTCATTTGCGATTCACAGAAAGGGTCTGTTGCATGTATTTTGTTTGTTTAAATTATACCTGTGTTATGAAAATTTTCAAACATATACAAAAATACAAAGAAAGTATAATAAGCTCCTATGTACTCAACCTCAACTAGGGTGAACACATAGACAATCTTGTGTACCCTCCTTCCCAGCTTCTCTTTGTGGTGACAATACAAGTGCATTTTCTGGTGCAGAAAACTTTTCCTTGGAGCAATCTGACTTACGCCTCCCTTCTCATTCAGTAAAATCCTGTATATCTTTCAGTACAGTCAAACATAATTTAAACTTAAATTTAATAATATCAAATATTTGATAGCTTAAACAAGATATTTGACATAAAGAGAAGTAGAGTAGTCCCCATTATCTGTGGTTTCTGTTTCTGTGGCTGTAGTTACCTTAAGTCAATTACAGTCTGAAAATATCACATAGAAGTTTCCAAAAATAAACAATTCATAAGTTTTAAAGTGCCATTCTGAGTAGCTTGAGGAAATCTCGAGAGTCCTCTTCTGTCCTGTGAGATGAGAATTCTCCCTTTGTCCAATGCATCCACACCAGGCATGCTCCTGGATCATTACTCACTTAGTAGCCATCTTTCTTATCAGAGCGATTGTCATGGTATTGCAGGGCTTGTGTTCAAGTAACACTATTCTACTTAATAATGGCCCCAAAGCGCAAGGGTAGTTATGCTGGCAATTTGGATACTCCAGAGAGAAGCCATAAAGTTTTGAGTGAAAAGATGAAAATTCTCTATTTAATGGGGAAAGAAAAAGAAATATGCTGAGGTTGTTAACATCTACGGTAAGAACAAATTTTCTACCCATAAAATTGTGAAGAAGGAAAAAAGAAATGTGTGCTAGTCTTGCTGTTTGCTGCACCTCAAACTGCAAAAGTTGTAGCCATGGTTTGTAATAAGTGCTTAGTTAAAATAAAAAAAGGCATTGAATTTGTGGGTGGAGGACATGAATAGGAACTTGTTCTGATTGAAGGTGATGTGTTATGCCAGAAATCACAGAGCCTACAAGAAGGCTTCGGCAAGGAATACCCTAAAACAAGTGACACCAGACTGTTTACAGAAAGTAAGGGATGGTTGCAGAGATTCAGGAATAGGTTTGGTATTTTATCATCTCACATCATCACAAGAAGAAGGGTAACTACAAAAAATATCTTCTTGAGTGTGTGTAGGGAGAGACCACATTGACACAACTTTGTTACTGTACATTGTTATAATTTTCCAATTTTATTATTAGTTATTTTTGTTAATCTCTTACTATGCTTAATTTATAGATTAAAATTTATCATACATATGTATGTATAGAAAAATATAGCATATACAGGGTTCAGTACTATCTGTGGTTTCAGGCCATCTACTGGAGTCTTGGAATGTATAACCATGGATAAGGGGAGATTACTGTACTGTTTTGTGTAATGTGTAAATGAAGAAGCAACTAATCTCAAGACACTTTGCAGAGCAATAATAGAAACAAGAGGCAACAGAAGGACAACCAATGCTATTGGATGTATCTTCTGAGTTGGACATAATTTTTTTGTTGTTTTGTTCTGGAGCAAATTATCTTGCCACCACTATTTGATAATATTACTAGGTTGGATGTGATACATTTTAGCAATTATTGTCTCCTAATAATGAGCTGATGAATCCTTTTGATTTGCTCCGTAGTGCGTGCCTGGGCGTTGCTATTTGTTTTCCATGCTTCTGCCTTAAGACCCTTAAAATCCCTTGTTCAGGTCTGTGTTTCCTAAGTACATATTCAGAAGGTGGATGCTCTAGACCCACATGTCCTACTTCACCAAGAGAAACCTGCTCTACCACACTACACTTGAACCAGATGAGCCCCTAGGGGAATGACTTTCCTTGCAGTGTGCTTAAGTGGGGATTATTTATTCCAACATCAAATATATCAGTGTTAGGAGTGAGGATGGGCCCAAAATGCAAACAAATCAAAACAGTCCCTTCAAAGATAGGACATCTAGCTGTATCATTCACTCCTTCTACCATAGCAATCATCTTCTTACTTTATGGACATTCTTACTAAGGATTTATTTTCTGGTTGACAATCTTCCCCTTCATCTGAACTCTTACTATGATCATTAACGATTTCTCATCCACTTGGATAAAACATCCCAGAGCCTAGCTTCTGATTTCCTCCCTAATAGATTATCTTTTCCTCCATTTCACCTCATCTTTTAATCCCCACATCACACTTTTGTTCTTGTCAAAGCTAGCCAGTGAGTGCTTAAGTGTGCCAAATATCAGTTGCTTATGTGTGTATTTTCTGTCTTCTTCCACTTGAATATATGGTGCAAGACAACAGGGTCTTGTTTATCCCCTGCTATGCGGAGGTGCTTAGAACAGAGGTTGTAATGTAGTAAGAACCCAGTAAATTTGCTAAAGGAACGAGTACCAAGCACACCCCAATCCATTATGTGCTTCCGGGAAGAATGTGCTGATTCACCATAGGAACAGACCACAGAACCCATGTAATACAAAGAACCTGAGAATTGTTTGCTGATCTACTTTTATGCTGTTGAATGTCTGCACGTAGACACTTGAATGCTTCTGTAATGCATAAGTATAAAAAAGTCCTCTCATTTTTTTTTTAAATATCATTTATACCATGAACATTTTCTATTGAGCCTGTTGACCTCATGCAAAAAAATAAATTATTTTTAATAAATGAGAGTTTATCTCTTAGTTTCCAAATCTGAAGGACACCTGGCATAAAGGAAATAAAACCCCAAGTTCCTGACAAGTGTGTAAGCAAGGCAGGAGTGAGGGAGAAGTGGTCTTTAGGATATTTTTATTAGTCTAAGTTTATTATTAATGTCTAAGCTGTGTTAATAAAATAGTAAATCCAAAACCACTAAATCTACTTTCAAAAATCTACTAAATCTGGGTGAGTTTACTTATTTTTGAATGTTTAGACTTAGGCTTAAGTAGGCAGTGATGACGATAGTTGGTATGTCCTCCAACTGCAAAGTGTTCAATTGTTTTCTGAGGTGACGGACCTTCAGAGGTGGTCAGAAGACTCCCTTTGCGTGTGGCTTTCCAGTTTTCTTCGCACTACTTGTTAAAGAGGCTTTCTTCTCTCCTTTGTATGATTTTGGCTCATTGTTGAAAATTATAATACTATGGACCTTGAGAATACCATGCTACGTGAGATAAGTCAGAAAAGATTAAGAACAGTATCTGTGGGATATAAAACTGTGGGATATACAACTAAAAACAATAAATGACTAAATAAGAAAAAAAACTCGTAGACACAGACAACAGTATGGTGGTTACCAAAGGGAAGGGGGAGAGGGTAAACAGGGTCAAATATATGGTGACAAGATTATTTGATTTAGGGTGGTGGACACATAATGCAATATACAGATCATGTATCAGAGAAAACTATATAACTTTATTAACCAATGTCATCCCAATAAATTTAATAAAAATAATACTACCTTAAAAGTAAGATGTTATATAGAATGTTTCAGGTACCATTGACAAGAGCAGGATATTTGATTTTCTGTTGCTGAATGGAGAATAATATTTTATATAAATATTATATCACTTTATGATGTTCTGTATAAGAGAGAGGCCATTATTATTTTCTCTTTTTGTCCTCAGAAACATACATTTTAAGATGATTTCATAGGCAAATAGATGAATACCTATTGTCAAATGTGGATCATCTTTTCTTCCAAATAATTACATTTTATTCTTACATTTTCAAGGCAGTTATGGACCACCCCATTTTTTCTGTCTTTCATGATGGTTTTACTCATACAATGTGCAATGTAAACTGCGGGTTTAATGTATGAAAGAATTCTGACATAATGCAGTTATTTCCATTTTGATGAGCTTTTCTTCATCACTTTCTTTTTTGTCTCCTTCCAATTTCCCTCTAGACACTCTCTTTCGCCATTGTAAAATGCTTCAAAGTGAGTCTTTGGGAAGACTTTAGCAAAACCCTCTCCTCCCCCCCACCCCCGGACATCTAGTAAGATGTCATATTCTGGTTTAGAATACATTGTATGCAATACTGTGTCACTCAGTGGCCCTTATTCGCCTATTTCCTGGGTTGGGTGT